ATATATATATATATACATGTATATATACATATATATTTATTTATTTGTTTAACATACATATTTACGTACTAATCCGTGGTCCACTGAACCCGCATACTTCGAAGTATCGCCTTGTGGGCATGTGGAATCTTACCATGAGCACGCCTTGGACGGCTTTGCCATCCTACTACAGCCGAAATACTTTCATTCACGACCGATTTGCTTCTATCAAGGATACTTTTAGTGTCCTGAGTCCTGTATACATGCCTAACACTAAACCCTGAACACGGAACCCGAGACCCAGCTGACTGGAGTCATGACAAGCCCCAAAAAAGAAAAGGAAAGCAGGTCCCCTGCACAAGAGTTGAACGATGCCCTGGCTGTGCTACCCGAAGATGAAGCTACGACTCTGGCAATGAAACTCCAGAGAACGGTGGCCCCATATAGAGCAGCCATCGAAAATTGGGGTGACATCCTGGCAGTCCTTGTGGCACATACTGGGCGGAAGGGGGCAATCCACTGTGGAGACCGCTTGGTTGAGCAGGAGCAGTGGGTGAGAACATGGTTCAACAGACTAGTGAAATCGAAAGTGGAAAACAGCAACAATGCAGGTGAAAGGGCCTCATCGTCACACCAGGCCGCTCCTATGTTGCTGGAAACCACCCCGGGAGAAGAACCACTTGAAGACCAAGAGGAACGACTGCTCGAAACCCAAAAGGAGGCGGACGAAGAGCTCTATGCATGGCACCAGAGGGAGCTGGCGCAGGAGGCACAACGTGCAGACAGAGCAGCACTTCAGGCACACTTGGGTTGGAGCGAGAGGCCGCCGTCTAAGCGTGTCAGAGTCACGGTCGAGATGAAAACAAGGACGGGGAGCAGATATTCAGAAATGGAGATTGCCGAAGGTGACCACATCAACATCCAGCTCGGGGTCAGTGTGGTGGACCATGGCAGAGAGTTCCTCCACCGAGGGAGACCAACGGACCCAACCACGGCGATGGAGGACCTGCGGAAGGAAGAAGACAGAATTGCTGCAGGACGACCAGAAACCCGCCCCTCTGAACCAGGGGTCATGTTCTCCACGAACAGCGCGGACATCAAACCGTGGTATGATGCGTGGAGGGCGGGGAGAATATCGTTCCAGGAACTGGTCAGCAAAACCAACAGGGAGATCGCTGGCTTCATCGTGGAGGCCTCGGAGGTTGCGGACCTGGACCTGGACACGGCGCCAGATGTGTCAACGGAGTATAGAGAGGCTTGGCAGAAAGGCCGTCCAGTCGGCGAGCTCCTGTCACTCCGGAGTTGCCAGCAGGACTTTGAAAGATGGAGCACGGGCGACCTCATGGAAGCAGATGTTGTTGACAAGTGGGGCGGAGATGTACTGAGGACCTTCCGAGCCTGGGCGGCCCTAGGACGGTCAGTTGAAACAAGTGCGGATCCAGCTCACCATGGTCCAGACAAAGACGGTGCAGGACACACACTACCAGATGAAGAGGAAACCTTACCATACAACATGAGTGAGGTGGAGGAACGTGAGAGCCGACGCCGTGTCCAGCATAGAAGACGAGGGCGGCAGCGTGTAGGAACCTCAAGCGAGGCAAGCTAAATGTGTATCATGTGAGCTGCCAAAAATTGGCCAATCTGCTGAGAGTGAAGTGGCACCTTATTCGGTATGAATGCTATATATAAATGCGTCTTGTGTCCACGTTTACTCGGGGAGTGATGGCCGGATGCATGTTGCTCACTGTAGAGAATCATCCGGTGAGCTGTGAAACAACTGCGATGTTGGCATAATCATCCTGCTTGCTTCAACGTGCAGATCTATATCTTTGTTCATTGCATCTTGAGCCGACAGCAGTGATCATGCTGATTGCACGATCTGACCTTAGGCAGCTCCGCAGACTGGATGGTTGTTTGTTTGGTTCTTGTTTGGTAATCGTGAAGCGGAGTAATTTTATAACCTTATGTTTGCTGCTGCACAGCTGATTGTGTGATCTACCGAGTGCCATGTTGAGTGCGCTCCATGGACTTGGGCAGTGCCACAGAACAATGGTTAAGTGTTATCCTGTTTGATAGTGTAGTTTGGTTGTTTCCTTCTGTTGAATGTGGCAAACTGCTGGGAATAGGGGAGGCCTTTGCAAAGGTGCTAGTATGGGGTTGCATTGTGGTTAGGGTGGTGAATCTCCCATTACTGAATTGGCCTCCCCGTTCAACCCCTCCACCAACCTGGTGTTCTTGCTAACCTTCGGGACAGGGAGAAAAGAGGGTTTAAACAAAAAAAAAAAAAGAACCCGAGACCCAAGCCCACTTTTTCACCTTTATCAGCCCTCAGAGGCCTTTAGGAACTTCAGAACGCCCCCCAGATATTTGGAGATTCATGGTTAGTTACAAGTGGGGTTGTATGTATGATAATAACTATGGCTACTTCTGCCCATTTGGGGGCCTCATATCCTCGCGTATTACGACTCATGAACCTCCAAGTACTGTCCTTTCCCCTGGAGGAGCCGCCCTTAATCATCCTGCCAGATGTGGATGCACGGGTGGAGGCGAGTGCAGGGTTAAGACAGTATATATATATATATATATGGAAATGGTCATGGCCCCTACATTATTAATCTCGTCAATGGGGCAGTGTTTGTGGTTTAGGCTTTAGGCTTATGCAGGGCTCTGAAAACTTCGTAAGGATCGCGCCTACATTCTCGGGTTTGGGGTTTGGCCGAAATCTCTAACTTACTCTGAAGGTCTTGGGCTTCGCTGAGGTAGCATTCATGCCACAGTCGTCAGCTACTTCTTGGGGTCTGCGCCATCAGCTGCGCCTGGAGAACCCCTCGTTTTTACTTGGAGGTTCAGGGGTAGTTATAAGTAGGGATATAAGTCCCTAATATCATGGGTTTTAAGTATATATAGGTACCATACTTATAACCCTACTTATAACTTATTACCCATGAACCTCCAAGTAAGTTACCCCTCAACCTATTTTGGTTCAGCGTTTCGGTTTGGGGGCTCATGCGTAATACAGCTTGGAATTCGACTCCTCCTGCGCTGGAAAAAGTGCGTCCCAGCTGTGAGTGCTATGCAGTTGGGAAGTACCATCCTGCACCTTTATGGGCTCCTCTAAGGGCTCCTTCAAGGGTTCCTTTAAGCGCTCCTTTAAGGGTTCCTTTATAGGGCTCCTGTAAGGGTTCCTTTATAGAGTTTAAGGGTGGTCTGCTTGTTGGCCTGTGGTCCTTCTCACGCGCCACAGTGCTGCAAAAGTAGCAATTGTGCCAAGCTCTAAATGAGAAAGCTTGAACCCCAAACCCTAAAAGCTTAAACCCGAAACCCTAACCCTGAAAGCCCTATATTCCCTGTAAGCCCCCAAACCCTGAACCCTAAGTCCCGAACCCGAAACCCTAAACCAAATCCCGGGAGGATCCAAAAAGTAGATCCCTTAATGGGGGTTCCTATAAAGTACCCTTAGTGGTATAGGGCCCCAAAATAGGGGATCTACTTTCCAGATCCTCCCAAGCCGGCTGCGCAGTTTAAACCCCCAAGCCTCAAACTCTAAACCCTAAACCCATAAACCCCCAAACTCTAAACCCTAAACCCCTAAACCCTTGAACGATAAATCCCGAACCGGAAACCTTAAACCAAATCCCAAGCCGGATGCGCAGTCGACCACCAAGAAGCTCCCGGTCGCAATCCTCTTTCCGGGTTGTGCTCTCAGGAAGCCTCAAGGAAGGTTTAGGGCGGTCTAGGGGGCTTAGGGTTTAGGGTAGGGGTTTAGGGTTTTATGAGGCTTAGGGTTTAGGGTTTAGGGCGGTCTAGGGGTCTAGGGGCTTAGGTCCTTTAAGGGGTTCCTTTTAGGGCTCCTTTAAGGGATCTTGGTCGTGCTCTCCGGAAGATAAGGTTCCTTTGTTATAGTTGGGTAACATCTTACATTTTTATGGGTACTTATATAAACCCAATAAGGAATAAACATGTAGATTTTCAATCCTATCCCAACCATGAACTAGGTTTAGGGCGGTCTAGGGGCTTAGGGTTTATGGGGCTTCGTGTTTGGGCTAGGGGTTTAGGGTAGGGGTTTAAGGTTTATGGGGCTTAGGGTTCCTTTTAAGGGGTTCCCTTTAAGGGCTTTTTTAAGGGATCTACAGGGATCTTGGGTTATGGGGGTTTACGGGTTATAGGGGTTTAGGGCTCATGGGGCTTAGGGATTTCGGAAATTCAGAATGTATAGGGCTTATGGAGTTGATGGGTTTATGGGTTGCTGGGCTTGATGGGCTTATTTGGTTTAAGGGTTAATCAGCCTAATGGTTTATGGATTTACGGGTTCAGGGTTTTAATGGGCTTAGGGGTGTATGGGTTTGCAGGTTCAGGGTTTAACATTATCAATGGGCTTAAGGGTGTATGTGTTTGCAGGTTCAGGGTTTTAGAGGCATTAATGCGCCTAAGGGTGTCTGGGTTTGCGGGTTCAGGGTTTACGGCTTCTTTTTGGAGTGAGGATTTACGGGTTTGGGGTTTATAGCGGAGCAGATATGCCGTGCCCGAACCAGTCGCCGAGGACGGAGCTTATGTGATTCTCTGGTTGTATCCTCTTGCCTTCCAAAGCGACATTTTTCCTCACCAGCTGGAGGACACAGAGGAACTCAGCACGCTCGGCTTAAAGCACCGCCTTTCAAGTAGAGTTTGCGGTGCAATGCATACAACGCTGGTCCCAGTCAATGATGCGAAGCTGACGAAGTGTGCATTTCACGGGGTAGGGCTTTATAAGGAGCTTTAAGGCACCCTAAACCCTAAACTTGAGTTTCAGAGTCTGCTATAGAGTGGCCCTATACATAGCACCTCAAGACAAGACCCTTCCAACCGCAACTTTCTCTCGAAACCCTTTACTAAACACCTAAACTTTAAACCTGAAACTGAAACTCCTTAATCCCTAAAGCCCTAAGCCTTGAACCCTTAACCAAGCTTGAGAAACATGTGCTTAGGATTTAGGGTAACCATTTGGGGCTGTCTGGAAGCCTGCCGTTGCTTTTTCCACGAGGCCAGGGGTCTCAATACGTAAAGATGCTGGCGGAGGTCGACGGTGTGCACAGGGTTTCCGACTGCAGGTTTATGGGCTTAGGGATAGTGTGGGAACCTGATTAAGAAACCCTGGCCTTATAACCTCAAAATAGTAGGGTTCATACAAGGAACCCAAATAAAGGCCCAAGGTTTCTTAATCAGGTTCCTACATTAGTGTTCAGGGAGTTTGAGTTTCAAGGGTTTAGTCTTTGGGGCTAGGGTTTTCCCGTGGATTTGGTCTGAAGATTTTCGAACGAGTGTTGAACTTTGGAGTTTGCGGTTTTGTGCTTGGGCTTTCTGCACGTTCGTTGCCTTCGTTTGGGTTGACTTGTTTCTTCTAGCTTTTGTCGCAATCCTAAATCCCTTCAAGATCTTTGGGTGGTGGTTCAGGGTTCAGGGGTTATGTGACAGGGTATATGAGTCTTATAGCAAGGTTCAGGGTTTAAGTGTTCTTGCTACCCTACTGAGCCCCATGCCCTAAAGCCTGAATCGTGTGATAGAGAGACTACCGTCTGAGATCCTTGAATTCATCGGCAAGAAACATTTTCGGCCCTAGAATCCAACAGCGGTGAAGTCTTGCCTGGTACTCGCTAGCCCTTTTTAATGGTTTTTGGCGGTACTCCAAAACGGGCTCGAGTTTGAGCCCTTACCTTGCAGACCCATCGACCTGAAAACCATGTCCGAATTGTCAGATGTCACGTCCTTACACGCCCTTGCTTCGCTTTCAGGAATTATGGTTCCCACAAGCTGAGGGTCTATATGACTTCGATATGGGAGATGATATGCCCCAAACCATAGACAAGGTAGGGTTTCATGTTGGGCTTCTGTGGCTTTCACTGGGAAGCTTCCTACCAAATGGGCCCTCATGCCATCGGGACTCCCACAGTCTCACGGCCGTCGCAACAGTGACACAGCGAGAGTAGCCGATGTGGACATCCCAGAGAAGCTTTAACTTTGCTACTACAGGGGCCTAAATAATTGCCAATACTAGTTTGTGTGTTCCGTCTTACAATTTAAATACATGGGGCCCCCAAACCCTATTCTAACTATTAAGGCCCCTACATTGTTACATTATCCACCTTCTGTTGCAGACTTTGGCTCCTTCAATGTCCTCGGTTTAGGGTCCTTGCAGTCCTAGCATCGAGTGCACTGAACAACACAGCCGAGAGTATGGGCAGGGGTATATGCTCCGAGAGAGGGTTGAGAGCCGACAACTCTAATCTAGTAGGGATCCAATCCGTGAGCGACAGGATACTGGAGTTTCTGGTGCCGAAATTCAAAATGGTCTGAGATACAACGGTTCAGGATCTAGGGCTTGAGATAGCCCAAAGGGTCTAAAGTACCTTTATAGTAGAATGTAGGGTTTCTATATTGGGGATTATTATTATGATTTGGGGAAGTATCCCCCATAACAGTACATAGGACCCTTTGGATAATACTGGGTTTAGGACGGAAGGCCGGGGAGGGTCGCCAGAGTCCCCACCGATGCCGTTGCCGCTTTCGGCGGCCGCTGTTACCGACAGCATGGGCGAGGCATCAGGGGTCTAGGGTTTAGGGTTTAGGGTT